ATCTTTTTGTCATTTCTACTTAATGAAAAATTATAATGTATGTGAGCTGAACTTGCTCCAATTTCTAGCGGCATCAAAACGGCCGGTTGATGGGCCTGGTTCGAGTCTGATCTAAAATTGATTCGGGCCGAATTCAATCAACCCAAACTAAACTTGTTTGATAAACGGATCAAAATGTCAATCTGAACACAACCAGCTAGTAACCCGAATCTGACTAATTAACCCATTTTGATTTAATTTTTTTTATAACCTATTAACTATAATTAAAATTTAAGATATTTGATAAAAAATAAGAAATTTATACAAACAATTAAAAAAATTAAGTAAAAAAGATATTAAACGTGTAATTTTCGGTTGAAAAATGAGTTCGCAAGTAAACCCTAATCCGACCTGTTTATTAAATAGGTCAATCCGAATCCAAATTTTTTTAATCAAGTATGAGTCGGGTCATTTATTGATACCCCTACCAATTTCATTTTTCCTATTATTCAAGGTTTTTTTTATTTATTTTACTTCATACTATAAATTTCAGTTGTATATATATACAATTAATGAGAATAGTTATATATGTTGAAAATTAGAATTTAAAATGAGATGAAGTGAAATGATTTATTCTAAGCATAAAAAGGTGCTGAAGGTCTATATGTTGCATAGTTGCAAAAGAGTTTATGAATGAATTTTTATGTCATATATAATTATAATAGAGTATATGTGGGGATCCCCCACTGGCTTATCTCCATTATGAATGGAAGATGGTTTATATGGAGGGAATGATTGCACTCAACTTTGTGAGTAAAGGTGGATGAAGAGGAGCAAGGAGGTGATCTTCCTTAAGAAATAAAATTATATTCAAATACATGTTGGGAGATTAGGAGTAAAAACACCGCAACAACGAAACAAGCAAGAAAATAAAAAGTAAAAACAACGAAAAGTAAAGGATACTAGTATTTAACGTGGAAAAATCGAAATTAGGGAAAAAAATCACAAAGCCACATCACATCAAGAAATCCACTATGAAAATTGAGAGAAATAAGTATAAATTACTCTTCTCTCTCACTCTCATCTTGCTTCTTTTCCCACATGTACCGTTCTCAATATTTTCACATATAAAAATACAAGAGAAAGCTAAGTAGAATAATCCCAAGGGATGCAACCCTTCAGAAAAACGAGAAAGAAAACGGTCTTGTCCGTCTCGCTGTGCTACATCACTAGTTTGGGGCGTTGCAGTACACATGCCTTTGTTTTATGACGCTGCAGCGCTCAAACTCGCAGTACTCCAAAATGCAAAGTTCGAATCGTTGAAGTTCTCAATCTTGTACCTTGCTTCGTCCGTTGTTACTCCAACTCGATCTGATGAACCTCGCTTTGATACCATTTGTTGGGATATTATGAGGAGCAAAACACCACAACAACACCACAATAATGAAACAAGCAAGAAAGTAAAAGCATAAAAAAAAAAGACCCCGGGATTTAATGTGGAAAATCCTAAATTAGGAAAAAAAATTATGGGGCCACATCACACAAAGAAATTCACTATGAAAATTGAGAGAAATAAGTACAAATATCTATTCTCTCTCACCATCTCCTTGCTTATCTTCCCATATGCATCATTCTCAATGTTTTCAATACAAAAATACAAGAGAATGCCAATTAAAATAAGCCTAGTTTGGAGTGCTGCGGCGCCCATGCCTCTGTCTAATGACGCTGCGGTGCTCAAACTTGCAGCGCTTCTTCACCGAATCTAGAGCACAGTGGTCCTATGCTCTCTGTTGATCAGCACTCGGGAACACAATGTCGGGGCACTCCGGTACACAGCGTCGGAGCATTGCACGTTTAAAAATTTTTCAGGTGCAAAGCACTCGAACCCAAGCAGGGGCTAAATCCCCCGTACCCCCCAATAAGCACGACATATTTGAGGTCCGAGGCAACAAAATAACCCGATTGATCAACATAATCAGATTTCACATATAACAATACGTTTTAAGTATATAATTTGGGCTTTTTTTCATTTTAGATCAGGCCACTTGTGGTGTCAATGAGTTCGTCTTATCGAGACAAGCAATTCAATTATAAACATGTTGAAATTGGAGTCTAGATAATCCTAAATTTAATTTAAAAATTTTTCAATTGAAATATCATCTCAAGTTTTATGCCGAGCAAATAATGTTTTTCAATACATATCAATTAGATTAATGATTTATGGTTACTTAAATTAACAATAATTGAGGCAGAAAACTCACATAAGCAGTTGATAAAACTAGTTAGGAAAAATCCAAATGACCATCGAGCTCAAGAGTTTGGAAATTTGATTAAAAAAAACTATAAAACTCTTGTAGAAACATAATTGATGGACCTGTTTTCTTATAAGAATATACAGCAACAAAAGGCTCCGTAGAATTATAAAAATATTCAAATTCAATAATCAATCTTAAATTTGAGATTTAAATCAAATCACATAAGTTTTTTAGAGCATATAGTTTAGAAAACAAGCAAAACAATCCTAATGAGTAATGACGCTTCGTGTGGGATGGCATTCTTATTGCTCTTAAAATAACTTTTTAATATAAAAATTTTAATTTTTGTACTAAAAAATTACTTTTAGAAGCAGTAAGAAAGCCATCCCAAACTAAGCCTAAATGTGGCGAATGGCTTTGCTTCTCATCCATTTAGGTCTTATTTGAAACAACTTTTTTATTATTTTTTAAAGTAATTTTTTAGTACATAAATTTCTTAAACTAAAAATTTTTGTACAATAAAATTACTTTAAAAAACAAAAATAAATCTATTCCAAACCAAATATTAGTTTTCATGCAGAATAAGGGATTAAAAAAATGCCAAAAATAAAATAAGATCCTCAAAAGCAAAGTCCATAATGAAACTTCTTAGGCTTTAGTGCATTACTCAAGCAAATGTTTGCCGCTGTTATATATAATAGCTCATTTTGTTGTTTGAAAATATCATTTAAAAATAAAAATTAAATTTAGCAAATTTATTATTTAATTCAATCTAACTAGAAAAATAAGCAATCCCAGCTACAATTTTTTACTTCTCATACCAGAATAAATAGAATAATTCATTATTAGAAAAAAAATTTAAAATAAATATGAAGACAAAATGCAGTGGAACTAGCTGGACATTGCTAATATCACATGCTAACAGTCCAAAAAAATTAAAAAATAAAATAAAATAAATAAGCTAATTAACAGTCCGCCATGATTGCTCTGCATCTTTTCATTTATTTCTTCCCTGAATGGAATGATGACAGTCCCACATTAATCAGTCACGCGCTTGATCTGCTCATAATACAGCCAAAGTGCTCCAATATCTATTGTCTGAGCTCAATATAATCTATATAATCTGCTTGTCTCATGAAGATCATTAAGGGGAACATAATCACCATTTGTTCAAAGGAAATTAACTATCTTGGCTTTAAGCTAGCATCTCTATGGCTATAATATGCTTAAAGCAGCTTAAGTTTTTGGCTTGGATCATAGCTTGACAGGCTTTTGGTCAAGCCTTCATCTTTGAATCTGCTCTCTCTCTCTCTCTCTCTAGTTCTATTGATATTAACCAAATTATAATCATTCATTGGAATTATTTGAATGTGACACTTAGCATTTGTCGGCATAAAATCTATGCCAGCTAGTATTAGATCCCACTGATCCATGGGGTATTATCAGCAATGCAGTTTATGATTTTTTTTCTTAATGATTGAGAAAAATATGTTATATAAAAATATTACAATTAGAAGCTCAAATTTGATACTTTTATTTAGTCCCTAAACTTCATTCAATACAAATTGATAAACTTTATCAGTAGGAGATTAAGATTGTTCCAATACTCAAATGATTGCATTGTGTTTTAAAAGAATATATGTATTAAAAAATATATATCATAAAAATACAATATTTATTAAAAAAGATTATAAGATACTAATATTAAAAAATATTTTTAATACAAATTTTCATGATTATTCCAACAATTTTATGCTGGTTGTCGACTATCTCACTCAATCCTTCACTTTTTTCATCCAAGACTTGGGACCTGATAATGACAACGTAACATCATCATTTAAGACAATTTATGCCTTGAAGTTTTCATAGAATGCTTTGATGTTTTGAGTAAATGTCTTTCATTTGTGGCCGCATCTGATACATTTTTTGTTTTTTTTTTTGTTTAATGTGCCAATGATATACAACAATTGAGAAAAATAAGCCCATTTAAGATATCAAATAAGTTTGGGACTTTTGTTCAACTAAACTGTCTGAGAAGATGGAAGCTTAGACAGTAATTAATGAAGAAAAACTAGTAGGCAAAGCCAATAAATGAACTGTAAGAAAAGGAAAAACTTACAAGAATCAAATAGCACTCCAGAAGGATTTCCCTCACAAGTTAACAGTATGGAATTTCACTAGTTAGGTTTGTAAGAATTTTTTTTTTGCAAATTTGCTTGACCAAGTTAAAAGTTGTTTATAGAGAAAATGGCAGCATTTACCTTCCAGCTAACTCAAGATGATTAGGTTTCTAGTCTAGAACTACGCTAACTGAAAATGCTCCTAGGAGATCGGGTTTGCAGCTGAGTGGTCGAGATAAGAAATTCATCCATCTCATCCAGGATCGAATCCCCTAACTGCCCCACCAAAAAAAAAAGTTCCTACTTCCTACAAACAAACCATTTGAGTCAGTCAGTCAGTCTTTATGCTGTAATTTGTCTAATTTGGGCGCCATCCTTTGTGGTTTCTTCATTTCCATCTTCTTTTTAAAGAAGAGTCTGTAGAGTCTTTTGCAGTAGAAGTATGAATAGAAGTTTTGCATAGCTTGGAAGCTATAAAAACCATAAAAAGAATGCTTGTTATGCAGTGTAAAAGTAATATAAAGTGAAGAGAGGCCTTACTCCTAGAAGAAAGCCGCTGCCTCTTCTTTTGAAAAAGAGAAGCATCTATGATTACTTCTTACATTGAGGACAGGCATGAAGACCTAGAGAGGTGAGAGGAGTGAGGGACCAGAACTAAAAAGTCCATTCACATTTTTTTTTTGAAAGTTTCTCTCATTAACATTTCATATATACATTTTTTATCATCTTGGAATGATGACTAAATAGTTCACATATTAGCAACCTCCTAAGTATGAAGAGGGCAGATTCCTTGGATAGCTACACACAAATCAAGAGCTAAAAAGGAAAAGAAAATCCAGATTACTGAAGAAAAAGAGAACAAAAAAATGATAAAGATAAGAAAGAAAAAAACCGGTTAAATGCAGTCTACATATTTTCTAACATATCAAATGGTGAGTGAGCAACATGGCAGCTACCTTAAAACCTCAATTTTTGGTGCCACTCCTTAGAACTTCAGTTTTATCCAAGCTTCCAATGAGCTTGTCTGATAACAGGAGGTGGTGAAGGCAATGGATTCACTTGTGAGGAACTTGAATTATGATGATGCCCTTTCTCTCTGTTCTTCCCAATGACAATAGTGATAAAAGACCCATCTTCTTCATCTGAAGGAGAAGAAGAAGCATCACGCCCTGCTGAAGCAACAGAAGAGATTTGATTTGCTTTTGACACATCTTCAACAAACCCAACGTTAGCTTTTTGAGCCTTGAAAGCTTCCTCCATGAGTGTCTTCCTATAAAGCTTCTCCTCAGCATCTTTCAAAAACTTAAACTTAGGAGGAGGTGAGGACCTGACCTTACTGACCAAATCCTCATTTCTTGTGGACTCAAAGAGGGGATTGAATCCATGATGTTTGTAACAATCCATAGGGGTTAAGGGTGGAGTGAAGAAAGGAGGAGATGAGAGAGGGGTTAGAAATGGAGTCTCAGAAGGGAGAAGCAAATCACCCAAGCTACCCCCTCTTGACCCTTTCCTGCTTCTTCCACTCTCAGATTCTAAATCCTCCTTTGTCTCCTCCTTTATGGTGAAAAGAAACCTTGGAGGACCAGACAGACTGTGAAGCCTCATCAGCTCAGCCTCCACACTTTCTTCTCCACCTCCAAAAGGAATCAGGAAATCTTTGCTAGAGCTGGAATCTATGTGGGCATCATCAGATCCGTTAGGTATGTGCACGGAGCTGCATACTTCTTGAGGATTGAGAGCAGTTGATCTCAAAAAGGAAGGTTTTTTCCAGCAGAAAATGTAGAGGAGCTCTCTTGTCGGGCTCTGGTAGTCTTCCTCCGTCTCTCTATTTGCAAGTTTCTTCTTCCATAAGAACAAGTAGTACAGCTCTGCAATTAAAGCCAGTAGCAGGAAACCAGATACAAGGCTGAGCCCTATTCCTAAACTGCTCAAAGCTCTCATCTTTGCATCAAATGGCGAATCCCACAACTAAATCCTCTTCAAAAATCAAATCTTTAAGTAAGATTTAACTCTCCCGCTCCTCACACAAACTACAAAACCCAAAACCCCAAAATTTTCACTTTAGAAAGCTATGCAACTAATAGTACATCAGAGAAACGATAGAAGACAGAGATGAGAGGGCAAAGAAAATACTAAAAAAGCCGTCCATCGCCGTTGAACCGCCTTGCAACCTAACTCGCCGGTATTCTGCTGCGAAACTCGCCGTAGAGGAGAGAAGCTCTTGGAGGGAAAATAATATAGGCCGGAAAGCTTTGGGATTCTTTCCTAGTTGCTCTTGCTGAATTCTTATTCCGCTAATGGTATCCCTCAAGGAGAGCTGCTCACATGTGCAGAAGCAGAAAAGGCCGGTGTCGTTTCCTCTTAGAAAATGGTTATTTTAAAAAACGAATTTTTATGTCAGTAATTTCATTGTTATCGAGTGTTTCAAATATTTAATTTGTTCCAGTTATCTCTACAGCTGCAGGATCCCATCCCTTCAAATATTTGCTATAGTTTTTTATTATATTTTGAAAAAAATCTATATAAAAACATAAAGTAAAGATTGAAGTCATCATTAAAATAATGACAAACTATCTAGCAAAAGAAAACTAAAACCAACTCCTTGTTGACTAGCAAATTAGCAATCACAATCACATAGGAAATATAACTAGAAATATGTCAATAATGACATTGGAAACATGGTATTATAATCTGAACAACTCCTCTTAAGTATAGAATCCATCTTTATCATCGAATAATCAATCCAAAAAATGTAGTTGCTCCCCTCCAAGAGCAAGAAAGCACCAACTATATATCTATATATATTCCTCACCTGAAAGAGGATGAAAAATAATATAAGAAAATTCAATAATATGTTGCAAGATTTGTTGAAAATGAAATGCAAAGTATGCTGATTGCAAGGAATTTCAAAATTTTGATTTTTGATTTGATTAAAAAAGAATGCCGAGTAAAAGTTTGGTGAACTCATTTTCACTCCACAGTTTATTTTTAATGTGGTTTAAACTCGTTTATTTTCAATCAAATTTGAAAATACATTACAAGATGACTCTATTGTCTTCGTCGGCCATCGTCTGTCTTAACAGACTGTTATCCACCACTAGTCGTCAGCCATCGCTGCCCCTACTCCCTATCGGCCGCCAACCACAAGCAAATTTTGACTATCAACATCATTAAATTTTACACTAGATTAATTTTATTTCAATTCAAACAAAAAAAACTATAATCAACTTCCATTTCACACTCATTTAAACAACTAAAAATATTTAAAATATATTATATTCCTTTCACACTATATTCCATTTCACTTTTTTCTCACCAAACCAAATAGCCCCTAAATCAAATGAAAAAATATAATAAAACAACAAAAAATCAATAGAAAGTAATCTTTCACTCAAGTTACAAAAATAAAACATGTTTAAGGTCAGAAAAAAAAACAAAATAAAAAAATGGCCAACCCAAGTTGAATAATCATCCATAGGCACCACCATAAGTTGTATAATTGAGATTTACTTGTCACACCCCGAGATCTATAGTGAAATAATTTCTTTTTTCCTTTATCTTTTCAATCTTTATTATCTTGTCAATTCATTTTATTTATTAATCCATAATTGAAATCTGGTCAATATCAAGATCCAGAGCTAATTAATTGTATTATAGAGAACAAATAAACAATAAAAAATATAATTCATATTTCTACAGTTCAGAATTACATCATAACAGTAGAGTCTAAAATAATATATATAATAGCCATTTTGGCTACAAACGAATACATAAGCTAAAGAACTTAAATAAACTACACTAGCATCACTACATACATAGTCTCAAACTACAAGCTCCTTACATGAAATCATTTAAACCACATAATCGGCAAATAGCTCAGTAATTAACTAAAATTAATGAAAGAAGAAGCAAAATAATATGTTGTAAATCATATAAAAAATATGCATCAATATCTATGCCGGTTATATATACTAATTACTCATATTATAACACATCACATCACAGTTCATAGTATCGGTAACAGTGATCCGTATTAGTAACAGTGATCAATATCATCAAGAACAATAACAACAACAACAATAAACAGCCTAAGTACAATGTAAGTTACAATATCAGTAATAATAATAAGTAATCATTCAATAATCAATATTCTATTAGATATTCATATGAGGGTATCTTGAAGGTATCTTACTCTTGCACTTTGACTCCTGGTCAGTCTTATTCTTTGATCAGTCCTACTCAATCATTGCATTCACTTTATCTTGTCAATAAGTCAATCATCATTAGCACTATCTGTACTCTTATAGTTGAGGTATCAATACAATCATCCATACTCTTATCGTTGATCTTATATCAATCAGTACATCATTCTATCATAGCAATCAATATAATTTCAGTACATCACTTCAATTATTTCATCTTATATCACATGTCAGTGTTATCATGCCAATCATAGTATATTATTTCAGCCTATTTTTAGAATGCCTTTTTTCCTACTCATTTTATCAAAAAAATTCTTATACACATATTTAATTGGTGAAAATGCAATAAAATTATATCAAATCATTCGTTATGATCAAATTTATAATATATCCAAAATTATGCGGTGAACACTTACACAATTAGGAGATACTTATTTTTTATCAAATTTAAGAGAGCTAAATCCGTAGAAATCCAAATAATAAAAAATAAAAATAAGAGGATAGTTACATACAACGATTAGAATGATTTTTGTAAAGGAACGGTGGATGCCCAGATGAACTTTCTCTCTCATCTTCTCCCCCTTCGCCTTCATTTCTTCTTGGCCAAGCCATGCAAGTGAGAGGGAGGAAGGCAGTGGGGTGGATTTAAGGGGGAAAATATTAAAAATTTATTTTTAGTGGCCTAGCGCCGCAACGCCGCATACAAAACTAGATTCACTATATAACAGAGACATTAGTGACGTTACGACGATTTCTGTGCCACATTACTCTCAACCCTAGCTAGCACCGCAATTATGACTCCCGGTCAGTCCTACTCAATCAATCTCAATCGTAGCAATCACTTTATCTTGTCAATAAGTCAATCATCATCAATATTATATGTACTCTTATCGTTGAGGTATCAATATGATCATCCGTACTTTTATCTTTAATCTGATATCAATTAGTATATTATTATATCATATCAATCAGTATCATTTCGGTATATCACTTAATTATTTTATCTCATATCACATGTCATTATTATTATGCCAATCATAGTACATTATTTCAATCCATTTTCAGCATGAATTTTTCCTACTCATTTTACCTATAAATTCTTATACACATATTTACTAGTGAAAATATAATAAAATAATATCAAATCATTCAGGTTGATTAAATCTATAACATATCCAAAGTTATGTAGTGAACGCTTATAAAATCAGAAGATAATGCATTTTTCTCATATTTAGGAGAGAGAAATGCATAGAAATTAAATCATTAAAAATAGAAGTAAGATGATAATTACTTACAATGATTAGAACAATTTTTGTAAAAAGGACATCTAACAAAAATACGCCCCCCCCCCCCCCCCCCCCCCCCCCCCCCCCCCCTTTCTCCTTAGTTTCTTCCCAGCCAAGACATGCGGGTGAGGGTTGAGGGAGGTGGCCCTTAAAAATTATTTTTAGTGGCCTAGCACCACATCGCTCAGTCCCAGCGTTGTGCACATGCAAAAATCAGATTCTCTCAAGAACAGATACATCAATGCCGTGGTGGGGGTTTTTGGCGCCGCAACGCTCACATGTACAACACCTAAACTCTCTAGTTGAATCAACAAATTCAAATATTTATATTTTTCATTTAAAATGATTTTCGTATCTTTGACTCGTACAATATTTAGCCAACATTAGAGAATGAATGAAACCCTAGCCTCGAATTTTCAAGAACAGCTAAAGCATTAGCCATAGTTTGCATTTGATATCCAAAAAAACAAACAAAACAAAAGAAAAACACACACACAATGGCATAATTAGTTTTTATTGTCATGTAAAATAGAGAAAAATGTAATATAGAAGTAAACTTAATTAGTATTTATAGTCATGTAAATCTAAATAAAATAAATTTAACTTTATATGATTGAATAAGAATCACATGTGTCAATTAGAGTCATGCACGTATCAACCGAACAATTATTACACCAGCATATATTTCGATGAGGAAGCTTCTTGATCATAATCTTCTACGTCATCATCATGTTTTGAATTTTGATTGATGTTTTCTTATAAATCTTTTGATCTAAGACTTACTATCTTGCTGACCCAAATTTGACCCGCATATTAGTAAGCAAATATTAATCTAAATTTTTTTAGTTAGGCCCAAAGATTTCTCACAAAGATATATTTCTTGTTTTAACAATAAAAACAATTCCAATAAGATCTATCTCTATGATCTTTCTTAACATAGGCCCAACCTAATAGATCTACTCTCTGAATCAGGTCATTGGAAGGCTGATATTTTATATGTCCAAACCTTCTAATTAAGACTTTCTCTTAATATCAAGAGATATATAAAACATTAAAAGAAAATGTTATTTAATAAAAAATAAACAAACCAGCAAGTTTACTATAAGCATTAAGTAATCAAGGATAGCTTGAAATGACAAGACCTGACATCTTCACAAGAAAAAAAACAAAAAAAACAAAAAACAAAATGAAAAAAAAAAACCCCTTGTTGACCACCCAATACCAACAACATCAAAGCAACAACCAACAAAGAAAGCTTTCGGTCCCAACCCACCACTTATATATGTATGAAGCCAAAGTTGACCTGACAAAGCCATGAAAAGCACATTTCATCATACAGTTGATGTGCAAATTTGGAAATCCACGCTTTCTTGCCATGGGCCATGGCATCATGTGGATGTGGTCCATATGCTGATGGATGTGGATGAGAGCAAAAAGCTTGGATCTCCTTTCATGGTGATAGAAACTTGAATGCTTTAGCTAGTGCTTAGCTATTAACCTTGGTTGAGTCAAAATGGGGGCCGGCATCAGAAGCAACAAAGTATATTAGGCTTGCAAGTTTTTTATGGATTTGAATAATGATGATATGTATTGCTCTTGTTCAACGTACATGTCTGAATTCTGATGACACTCATGGAGCATGTAAAAAAACATAAAATCATGTATTGTACTAGCTTTATGATAGTCGTCATGATGATGATCATCAGAGCCCTGCATTGGGTACCCATACCCACACACACCCATTTACCCACCCACATACCCATGGTCTCGTAGGTGGGTATGGGTGGGTACTCAACATTAGAGGACAAACCGATTTACATTACAAATCAACTTATGCATGCAGTATATTACAGTAATCCTTACTACGCAGTGCGCAACACTGAACCGAGTCACGACCACGATAAATTTTTATCAACCAGGACCCCATGTAGGGCTCTGATGATCATGAAACTGCAAACAACAAATACTTAATGCATAGCTCATAGAGATTGATCACCGAGGTTCCACCGAAGCATGAAATAATTTTCCAGTGATCATTCAAATTACACTGTTTTCAGTTACATGCAATCATATATCGCACAGTATGGCATAGTAATGCAATGACCCTCTTTGCTACTACAGTTCCAAAGTTTAAGCAATGGCTTTCAATAAAAGCTGCAATTAAGCTCAACGGACCCTGTAAAGAATTCACTGCACTTCATTCCTCAGCAATCAAACAATTCAGCTTTTATATGTTTGAAGGATTAGATTGTCAAGGTGTTCTATAATATACTAGATCCAGCTGAAACCATACTTCACTTCTTAAAGAAAAACTTAGCTTTAGAAAAACACAAAGGGAGCAGCAAACCTTAGGAACCATATCTACATTGCGATCCATGTTTGGGATAAGATTTTCAGGAGGTTTGTCGCCACCCTTAAATCGCTTCCATGGCTATTACAGACAACATAAATGAGGTATTCCAAAATGCTAAGCTAATACATGCAGAACTTCACATCTTTTAGGAAAAAATGTAATCTTTGCAGCTAATAAATGTTGAAAAGATGTGAACTAGGCAAAACACCTGAACTAAATTGAGTGGTTTTGATTCCCCACCATAGTAATCAATCCTACCCATGTGCAGAACCTGCAACAAAAAATTAAGCACAGGATTCAAGCTCTCAGTTCAAACCAGTAGCATAAGAAGTAATGGTGTCAGTTTAAGCTGTGTAGAATGTATCAAGCAAACTGACAAATGTAAGCTTATTATCAAGATGGTTGTTAGTGGAATAGTTAACAAGGTATGCATATAAATATTGATATAAATAATGATGATATTAAGATATGCATATACTTATGTGTGGAATCTGATTATGTTGGTAAATCGGGTTGTTCTATTGGCTCGGACCTCAAGTTTGTCATGCTTGCTGGGTGGTGTAGGAGATTTACCTCCTGTTTGGATTCGAGTGCTTTGCAACTGAATTTTTTTCTTTTCCGTACAATGCCCCAACACTATGTACTCGAGCGCCCTAGCATTGTGTTCCCAAATGGCAGTTGGAAAAACCATGACGCATAGTGCCAGTGCTATGTTCCTGAACACCCCAACACTGATCGACAAAGAGCAGAGTGCCACAACGCTTTGGAATCCGCTCAACAACACTGCAAGTTTGACCGTCCCAGCTTTGCGAGTTTGAAAGCCGCAATATCATCAGACAGAGGAATGAGAGTTGCAGCGCCCAAATGGCAGTGGTGCGAAACGGACTGGACGATTTTCTTTCCCGTTTTTCTAAAGGGGTGCGTCCCTTGGGGTTTTTTTTATTTAGCTTTACCTTGTATTTCTGCAGTGGTTTGACATAGAGAACGGTGCATGTGAGGAGAGAAGCAAGGAGACAGCGAAAGAGAAGAGAGATCTGTAATTATTTCTTCCCATTTTTATAGTGGATTTCTTGGTATGATGTGATTCCATAGTTTTTTCCCCATTTTGAATTTTTCCAGATTAAATCATGTGTCCTTTATTTTTCTGTTGCTTTTACTTTCTTGTTTATTTCGTCATTGTGGTGTTTACTCCTCCCCATCCCCAATATCATGATATCAAGATATGCATATACTATAACAGAGTATGAAAAATATAAAATAAATATCATGGATTATTCATTTATTCTACACATAAATATAAGTCCATTAGTACAAAAACATTTTAAATCCATGATATAAAATAAATATCATGGATTATTCATTTATTCTACACATAAATATAAGTCCATTAGTACAAAAACATTTTTGCAAGTTTCATCATATGAATATTCAAACATTTTATGAAGTGAATCAATAAGACATATCAGATAATCTATAGAGCAATGAACATAAGATATTTTTATGTGAATTAACACTTAATTTGCTGACATTTAAGCCTAATCCTCACTTGAATTAAGATTTCATTAGCTGCCACTAACAAACTATTTCACTCCTTAAGTTGGTGAAAAAATCATTATAAGTAATGAATTTTCTAATTCTCAAAAGCTTATTAAAGCCTTCTAAAATTTGACATATACAAGCTTACAAATTAATAAAGAGAATCCAAAATCTTCCAGTGCTTTGTTGATGGTGTAAAGCTATCAACAAATAAAATATTGCTATACGAGTTCAACACAAAATATATTACAAAACATTATGGAAAATCTATAGAGATTGAGAGAACATAAGAAAATGTTGATTTAGATAAATACTCTGTATTTTCACCTATTCTTGCTTATATATAAAACATAATTGTAAATCAAACAACATAAAAATAAGAAGAAAAAAAAAATAAAAATAAAAATAAAAAATTTGACAAAACAATCATAAGATATAATCAAATTATCTCTGATTGACTTAATTAAGCATTGCTAGCAAAGAAATGACATAATTAATAATATAATTATAAAATTTAAGTTCTCAAAAGCTTTATAATAATATGGGTAATCAATTTCAAGATAAATAAATTTTAAACATCATTAAAAATTATTATCATTTATATAAATAATAATTATATAAATTTTAGTGAATTAATTTCAATCAATCTATAATGAAAAATCATAAAACTCACAAACTAGCCTATTAATTGTGGGATCTTCACTTTGCCCATCATCCTTCATAAGTGATTAAGATTTTAAGATAATTTAATGAATATTATGCTTATGATCAAACTCAGTACGAATTAATTAACATAAAAGACAATATTTAACCAATAATTAAATAATATTATTGTTGCATCTTTAAAAATTTGTTGTGGTAGAGATATATAAAATTTAGCATCATATCTTTGTACGAATATCCAACACACAAATATAAAAAATAGTGGGGTGCAACGTCATATGAAACACCATAGTTTTTACATGGAAACCCCTGAAAAGGGAAAAACCATGGGGCTTTGCCCAATTTAAATGAATCCACTAGTGTTTGCAATTGATTACAAATGAGGCCTTTCTTTGAAGGGAAGGCCTTAGATTGATGTAGCCAATATACATCATACGAAGTGCATTACATGGTGGGAGTTGGAAGAATCAATATTGACATGTTCGTTTAGTTGGAAGGACCATAGTAAGCAGGTATCGATGGTCAGAAAGACCTTTGTTAGGCGACGATGGTTAGAAGAACTATAGTTATCCGGTGACGATGATTAGAAAGATCGTAGTCAGCATGTGACAATATTTGGGAGGAGATCTGACATTGATAGTATCCAGGAAGAGTTCCTGCAATAGTTGGAGAACAAACAAAAATCAGATGATTGCTGGTTGTCAGGAAGAGATTCAACAGTAGTTGATGAATGAGCGGAAGTCTAGCAATAGTCCGGAAGGGATTCGACTGCGATTGACTATCAGGAGGAAGTTCGGCGACGATTGATAGCCAGGAAAAGACCCGGCTATTTATAGATTTTTGAGAGTGCCATGAATTGTAAATAATGAGAAGATCAAGGGCAAGTTGGGAGTATTCAATCGGACGGCCCATAGTGATTCCCTTGATCATAGTGTTTATTGAGTATTTGGGTGCCTTAATGGTATCAAAATTTAGAGATACTGGGCTTGTTAGACTCTTCTCGCCGAGCCGCTCTATTCGACCATAAGCATGCCGTATTCTAATATCATTTGGTAGTTTAATTAATGTTATGAATCTCTCAAATAGACTTTAGACCTTTGATTTGAGCTCATTTGGGCTTGGATTGAATCAAATTTGATGTTCAATATGAGATGTTCAAATTTGACTATAAACTTGAGATGTTCGTCTCTTTGAGATGTTCAATTTGACTATAAATTTGTTGAAGTTGGAGATTAGATGAACCTTTTATTTTTTATTTTTTAAGTTTCACTCTCATGGTTGCATCGAGATTTGTGCTTGATCAAGACGATTTTTTTGTGATGTATCAATTATATATTATTTATTATAATTAAATTATTAACGAACTATAAATCAACAATGTCAAAATGAGTTTGCAGTTCAGATTTGAGCCAACTTGTTGATTCGAACTTAACCCATTTATTAAAGGGCTCAACCCGAATTAAATTTTTTTTTTTTCAAATTGGAGTCCGTACCCAATATGAATATCCTTTAAAAAAAAAGGTATAAGTGTAAATTTTAGAATATTTTATATTTTAAAAAATAAAATTAAGATGATAAATGAACCACTTACGAGAATATTCCGTCACGGCGTTTTACGCGTCGTGTTGAAAAAGTGCCGCCGAAGATATGCCGACGGTCGATTGGTCATTCGAAGCAATCTCTTTAATTAAAAAAAAAAAAATTTGCGATTGCCGGTTGTTTTCCACTCGATCCATAGATCCGAGAACTCAAGCAGGGGGGAGGAGAAGGCTACAAGGAGGGTTATAGGTGTTCCGATCAACGCCAACAAAGATGAGCTTTCTCTTTGGCAAGAAAAAAACTCCCGCAGGCAATCCTTCTGCCATCCAAAGCTCCTTGATTACTTTCTCTTTGCGTCGCGTTGATTTGATTTCATACAGTTCTGAAATTAAACTTTTACTGGATTTATTTAGGGCTATGAATAATCGATCCCTTATTATTGATTGTTTATTCTCCTATCATGGAAATAAGCTATCTATTATTGTTTTGGTTTTTTGATTGCTTAGGGGATTTAGGATTCAGGTTGTTATGCTTGTTTCTGCTATCTTCTTATAGATTACTCGATGCAGAATTGCTGCGGGAGAACAAGAGAATGCTTGATAAGTCTATTAGAGAGATCGAAAGGGAGAGGCAAGGGCTGCAAAATCAGGAGAAAAAGCTTATTGCTGAGATTAAGAAGGCGGCCAAGCAAGGGCAGATGGTAAATTCTTATCTGAGATACTAATTGAGGGTGTTATAAGATATTTGATATTACTTGATATGTAATCTTATGATCTATCGTAGCACTTGATGTCAAAATGATTATGGTGATCGTGCTATTGACCTAAAAGAGTGATTGACAAGGATTTGCTTGAATATTTTCTTTTCATTTATTTTGTTGATAATATTCACAATTTCCTTTGCATCCATAAGAAATACAGAATTGTGAAGTATTCTGCCTGAATTTACTTTAATTTTAAATTCCTTACTTTTGTTGCATCACCTTTTGGATTTATGACTTGGTTTTGGAGTGTTGGTAGAATTAGAGTTGTTGCGTGCTAGAAAATTATCTATAATAGAGAGAGAATTTTTATATCTTAGCTTTGCATGAATATCCAACACTCACTAATTATTTAAAAAACTATAATGGATATTTAATTTTTTTCATGAAAATTTTAAAAAAGGAAAAATCATGAGGCATGTCTCAGATGAAATGATTCACTATATATTTGAAGTTACCAAAATTTTCTTTGCCCCACAATTGGAGGTGGGATTAGAAAATTGGGCGCACTTTGTCTTTTGTAGCAGAGATTGTTAGAGAAATAGTTGTAAGTTGATGGCGGTAGATGGACGATGCCTTAGTCGGATAATGATGGTTGTTCGACAATAGTCGAACGATGATGGTGGTAGGATAACGATAGTTGGGTGATGGACAATAAATTATGTTAACCTAGTAATGATGGTTGGTGGTGATTGTAGACATTGAGCATTAAATAGAGCTTAGGAGTTTTCTAGATTTCCAATTCCTCTCCAAACTCAATCTAGATCTCATTCATGTGGAGCTTGGAGGTTTATTTATAATGTTTTGAGACTTGAGAGTGAGCATTTTGATAAATTTAACCAAAATTTCATCTGACATCTCACATTGAATTATTTGATCATAGATCATTTAATCAACATTTAAGTGCCTTAATGATCTTATTATTGAGTGACCTTGGGCTTATTCTATTCATGTTGTTGAGTCGCTCAAATTGATTATAAGCATACACAATTTACCGATCATCTAATCATTCAATCAATGCTTCAAAATTTTCAACTTCACTTCAAGTGCTCGATTTGAATTCATTTGAACTCGGATCTAATTACTTTTGGTGTCATTGAGTTCATCTTGCGAAGATGCTTAGTTTGATTGTAAATTTCCTTAAATGGGAGTTCAGATGATTCCAAAATTTAAATTCAAAAGTTTTTAATACAAAGCAGCCCACCAAGTTTGGTACCGAACTACCGATCATGTGAAATTTCTTGAGACATATCAAGAGTGTTAGAAGTTTGCTTTGTAGCTCCATATTCAGAGATTTATTGAATTTTCATACTTGATATCATGCTTTTTTTGGCTCTCAGTATACCAAATTGGGTATTGGATAGATTCAGGTCATGCTATAATACCTTTGTGTGGTATGTGAGTAGATTAATATATGCCTCTTTCCGATGTAAGGTAAGTCTATTGTGCAATTTATTCAAATAACATTTTAAGATTTATATGAAGACATTATATGTCAATTTAAATGAGAACATAACTTATAGTGCTAAATTTGATTTTTAAAATGAAGAAGTGTCTCAGGAGTACTTTACAATAATGATATCATGGAGTTTCAAATTTTAGATTACCTGGCAATGTGATATAGTTTGTAGTATTAGCAACAAGAAATCACTAATAGCCAAATTGGGTGTGATAAAATTGAAAACATTGAGGACGTCTGGTAAATGTTATAAAGGTAGAATAAGAAAAGAATGTTAGAGGGATAGTGAGAGTGGTATTTATTTAAAATAGAGAAGTTGAAAATATATTTGGCAGTTTAGGCATGTACAACGGAGGACTAGATGCACTGATAAGTTGAGTCGATAAAATCATTATAGAAAGTCTGGGAAGAAAAAGGGTCGTTAATATTGGAAAGAAGTTAAAAAAAAAATGCACAAAATAGAGTTGACATCTCATTTAACACAACAAAATTGATGAAGGATGTATCTATAAGTTGACCCAATATATTGGGGATATGACTAGTGATGATGATGACATAACATACAATCTATAATTATAACCACTTATTAGGTTGTTTTGGTGTGCACTCTAGCATCTAAAGATGAGCTAAGGATCAAAAAATTTGATAGTATTTTTTGTTCCGTGAAGGAGTGAATTGATATTAATAGCTTTTTGAGTATTTTACTCATCACTAAAATGGAAATTCTAACATAATCTGCCTACTAACTTTAAATGAAGCTGCATAAAGAATATGAATACCAGACATGATGTTATTGGAGTTTTGATCTTTGTTCGTTTCCATCAACTTTATCCATTGTTAGCTTTATGTCTGTGTTGTTTATGTAAACAACTAAGCTGTATCTAAATAAATGATATGAAGCTTTCTTTAGCGGTATATCTTACCAGTATATATAATGATGGAACTGCTTAAGTTTTTTCTTACCAATACAAACACTTTTGCCAAGCGATTTTCGTTGAACGAAATTATAGTCTCCTTTAGGTGAATCAGACGTTCCGAACGCAACGACGATGTCCGTTTTGCAATCGGGCATCGTTTGGGTAGTGTCGTGTGTCGTTTTTGGGTGTCAGTCATCAATTTTGATTGGTCACGTCCGATTCAGCTGCGAGGGGCTTCCAGTTAAGGGAATTTGATATTATAATCGCAATGACGCAATCCGTTCGGCGATTGGAAGTCATTTGACAGTGACGCGTCGCGCGTGCCGACTGTCATTTTTAGTCGTTGATTTCGCCTTTTTCACGCATATTTGATATGTAGGTTAACAATAGTATAATGTGTTTTCTTGTTGAGGAATATCTATTATTAATGAAGCATATGACATGCATAGTGCCTAATCAAATAAGGCCCTTATTATGGAATTTATGATATTTCAGTATTACGATAGTTAAGTAACCAGATGATTTTTGGCCTGTGTGGATTTTGTAAGGTTATCCTAGTACTATTAACAGTTGATATAGTAATTATTAAATTTAGAGAATTAGAGAGGAAAAAGGCTTCATTTTATTACATAAAACTATCCCTATTTATAGATTTATAAAAGATGTCTTAATAAAGAAACAAATAACTACATAATCATGCATAATTGCCTTAATATAATCCTTCCTAAATCAACCACCCAAATATAGAAGGAGATTGGCGTGATCTTGGTGAGCCTCCCACGGATTCTCATCTTAGTCGTGGGATTAAGTGTTAGAGGACGGATGAGATTTAATAGAGATCGGCATGATCTAGGTGGGCCTTCCACGGATTCCCATCATGGTTGTGGGACCAAGTATTAAGGGACGACTGAGATTTTAAAACTCTCCCTCAAGTTGGAGAATACAGATCTATCATTACTAGCTTGGTAATTAGTCATAGAAAAGTAGAGTTATCAAGTTCCTTGGTGCACCATAAAGTCTTTCTTTTGGTCAAAACTTTTGGAGGAATTGGCTTCAAACATTGTGCTAGTGGCAAATGATAGCGATGAATGCTATATCAATCAAGCCTGCAAGGTGTGGGGAAATAATGAAAGTTGTGTTGAACAAAAGCCCTCAAGATACCGAAAATGACAATAAAGGCCGTAGGTGCAACAATAGGGAAAGTGGATTAATTATCCTTCGGGTTCGTATCCCTCTCGGTTCTCAAGGGAAGGCTGGCAATGAAATTATATGGCCTTTTAAGTTATAGGTAAGATTCATTGGTACTAGCTATACACACACACACAGAGACACTAGAAAGTGAGCATACCAACTTAGAAAGATATAATAGTTTTTTTTCACAAATCTTTCACCATCTTGAATGGCCACCATTTAAATTGGTTAAAAGCAAAAAAAGTAGATAAAATTGTTAAAAGTAGAAGTAAAAAATTGAATTTTAACTGGTCCAAATATGATGGATGGTAAAATATATGTGAGCACAAGTAATTTTATCCTTCTAAATGATTAAAATGAGAATAATTATTCTCCTTCTACAGTTATTTTTTTTCCTATCACTTGTTCTGGTCTTTTAACTCAAGATTACATTGTTGATTGTAGTCAACAATATGGAAATATTTGTGGATTGAATTTCATCAATTCTCATAATAATTTAACCACCGTCAAACATGACAAGAAATAAAGATGATCATATGATATATAAAAACCCATTTATAATGTAGATTTAGCTATATATTTCATCAATAGAACTGTAAAATGAATTTTAAATTTCATCAACCCTCTTGTATTTAGTTCTAGGTCATTTGAAATCATATGTGCTTTGAAATCACAATTCTCATAAAATCAGAGCCATCCATTGAGAAAATTTTGATGAGTTCGATTGATGAACAAATAATCTTAAAATTTTCTTAAGCCATTTATGCGCTAATTTTAATGTTGTTAAAAAGACCGGTGATTTTTATCTTATTTTTGAAGATCATAATATTGATGTAGTGATAGGAGGAGAGAATTGTGGTTCTCCTTCTAAGAGGAGAATCATGATTCTCCTTCAAGTAGATTTTGATGTTCTATGACCTTCAAATGCAAGGTCCAAATCATCCATTCTTTTTAAACACCATTGAAACTAGTGTCTTGCATTAGTTCAAGCTATTGTAAGATTGTTTGATCGTCAATTGATTGTATTAAAAATTTCAGTATGAATGGCTTTAAATGCATGATATGATAGTTGTGGTTTTAAAATTTAGAGATTTTCAAATGGTTTGAGTTGAAGGATTATGGGATCTACAAGTTAACTTATTTTAGTATGGATCTTTGAGCACATTGATTTAGAATTCAAACCATTATATCAATCCTCTTATGACCTTTAGATTGCAATCTATGTGTCTCATCTTTTTATTCTAGCCATCAGTCCACTCTTGTGAATATTTTTTTTGTTAATAGTTTTAATTTATTTCTATTGTAAGCTTTTTTTAGAAGTCTATAAATATGATCAAACAATAAAAATAAATAATTTTTTTATTTCTATTGTGGGTGATTATCTAAAATGGTCTCAAATTGTGAAGACCTTTTTAAAAGGAAAGAGAAATATTTATCATTTTATGGATTCTCCTTCGGAGTTCAACGTCTCAAAATTTATACTTTGTGATGAAATAGATTCATGAACATGATATAGTTGTGGAGTACCATGATCATACATGTCAATCAAGAGTGTCAATGACGCACAACGCGGTGCACTTACGATGCTATTTGCGCAGCACAACACGACGCATTAAAATAGTGCGCGCTATTTGCGTCATGCATAAGCAATGTCTCATGGTGCAAATGGCTCACGCTATTTTATTAGCATGTTATACATTTCAAATTATAAATTATAATTATTTCTTAAAGGTTTATATTATAATATCTCAACTAATCATTAAATAATAAAACATTAAATTAATAATATATATATATATAAAGGATTTATTTAATTTTAATAAATATTTATATTTTAATTATTTTATATTATGCGCCATATTTAAAATGGTACGCACTACTCCATGTTTTATGCTTCATGGATCCACAGGAAACTTTGCACCATGATGCGCCCTTCTTCGTTAACAAGTATTACCATGAGGTTTGAAATCAGTGATACGTGTATGTTCCTATATATGCATATATATACATATATTTGTTTGTATATTTCATATCAAAATTCTTGTATTTTTCATATGATTGATGAATGTTTAAAATATCATGAAATTTAATGTTTGCATCAACTACTGTATGAAAGGTATGGAGCGATTAGTAGGATATTGATGCACTTACTGAGCCTTCATTATTATTAGGTTTGCTCGTCAGCCGTTAGTTCAAACTTCATTTTATTTGCTATGTTTGCCTTTTATATCCTTCTTTTTTCTTTGTACTTGCAATGTAAGAGTATGCCCAATTTGCATATATTTTCATTATCAACCAAGCCGAGCATCTAATTTTGGTTTGTACCGGATGACAGGGAGCTGTAAAAGTCATGGCAAAAGATCTAATCCGGACAAGACACCAAATTACTAAGTTTTATGCACTCAAATCACAGCTTCAAGGAGTGTCTCTGAGAATTCAGGTAAATGTTTTTAGTAGTCTTGCAAATGCTAAGTCATTAACATTTGTATTTGTTGTTAAGGACGAACTTTATTGCTTTCGATGTAGTTTTTGTGTGTTTTTTGTTCCGCTTGACTTGTTGGAAGCCTTGTTGCGCTGGGACATTTGAAACTCCTGAGCACTTATTGAACAATCATTGGACAAAATTATCTAACCAAGCGTTGTGGACACATGTTGGGCACAACTTATGCCACACTAAGCTTTCGTTTGAGACGGCTTTCTTACTGCTTCATAAAGCAACTTTTTAGTACAAAAATTAAAATTTTTATACTAGAAAGCTGCTTTAAGAAGCAGAAAGAAAATAGTCCCAAACAAAGCCTAAGTTGGTTATAAATTCATAATACTAATTCTATTTGAATTTATTAATCTAGCTCTCTCATTGTTCCTCTTTATGACTTCTCCTTAATATTATTGTCACTAAGCATGACGTTTCCCTAAGTTTTGTTCCTGAGAATCTGATAAAAGATGTTCATAGTTTTATATCTATGATTGGTCGCCTCTTAGATACCCCACGAACACATTATAATCACATTGATCAAATGTATTTTATGATTCATATGGTTTCTTGAGGTTGGAAAACATGTCTTACAGTTGTGAAATTTGCTAGATTCAATCAATTTGTTAGATGTATTTACAAATCAAAATTGATTTTAAACCATAGAGACCCTTTCAAATGTAATTATAATCACATTGATCAAATTATGATTGTTATAGACATTGAAGTCAACTCAAGCTATGGGTGAGGCCATGAAGGGTGTTACCAAGGCAATGAGACAGATGAACAGACAAATGAACTTACCTGCACTACAGAGGATAATGATGGAATTTGAGCAGCAAAATGAGAGGATGGAGATGGTCTCTGAGGTTATGGGTGATGCCATAGATGATGCTCTGGAAGGAGATGAAGAGGAGGAAGAAACCGAAGAACTTGTTAGCCAAGTACTCGACGAAATCGGAATAGACATCAATTCAGAGGTTCTCCTTTCCTTCATAAAAATGTTATGTTTCTGAAGTTTACTCAATTATCCTTGTATTAGGTGTTAAGCAGTATTTGTTTTTCTATGAGCAGCTTGTCAAGGCGCCTACCTCTGCTGTGGCCAAACCAGCAGCAAACGTCAAGGTTGCTCAGGCCGAGTCTGCCGCAAGTGATGATGGAGGGATTGATAGTGAACTACAAGCAAGGTTAGATAACTTGAGGAAGATGTAAATTTGTACTTATGATTTACTATTTGAAACGAGAAGCATAGTACTGTGCCCTGTAATATAGTCTAATACACTGTTTATTCTGCACAATGCTTACTCTTTGCTCCAATGTTTGGATGATAAAAAAAATACTTGTGCTTACTTGTTCACAAGTTATTGGCTTTGGTGTGAACATTTGTTCATAGTTGTTTTGTGATGATAATCATTTTAAATGAGATTGATGAGCATTCTATTTTTTTATTGCTTGTTTCCTGTCATATGGAGAAAAATTGAAGAGCAGATTCACTTGAACAACTGTCTACATCCTATATCTATAATACACTTATATATATATAAATCGGCTTAGGCTTTGGTTGAGACAACTCTCTTAGAGCTTTTTTAAAAAAATTTGGACTAAAAAGCCGCTTTAGAAAGCAATAAGAAAGCTGTCTCAAACGAAGCCTTAATGCAATGGGGGATTGATATGATGGAGCATTCACTTTTGGAGTCGAATAGACTGAGCTGCCAAGCAAATCCTTTTGTTCAATTGAAATGCTATGTGATGAAGTGGCATTCTGCCAGTAAACATTTTAGAGTAGAACGTTTGTAATCAACCAATCCATTGGATGAAGCCTTGAGAAAGGGTTGTGGTTTCTACGTTACCAGATTTTAAGGATTTTTAGTATATACTTTTGCTCTGCGATTTACAATTGTATAAACACTAGCAGATATGTTTATGCATGCTCTTCATGTGGTAGTGATGGGTTTATGCATTTGATGAGATTTTAGTGTAAAAAATATCAAATTAGAGGAGATGGTTTTCCTACTGAGAAGCTAAATCTGTGTCATTCAAAAGCAGATGCAATAGCAACAGCCACTCCCATGTTCTCCATCAACTGTTAAAACTGTTGCTAGTGGCTTTTATCCTCTGTTGCTTTTTTTCTCTGGATTAAAGTTTTCATTGTTTTTCTTCCAATCAATCAGAAATATCTTAGCAAGTAAATATTCTAGAAAAGCCATTAATGAAATAAACGCAAATATTTGATAACTATTGAGGGAAAAAAATTAAGCACAAAATAATTTGGATTAAAGTTTAATAAACAATCAAGACTGAGGATAACTGAACATTAATTTTGAGACAATCATCAAACATTTATATCATAATGGTTAAAAAAAGGATAATGAATACTTTAAAATTTAAATTAAATATGCATTAAGAGAGTTTTGAGAGGATTATAATTACAATAATTATATTAATTTTTAATAGTGTCCTCCATAGGAATTTTTTTTTTTAAATCCACCAATGCATATAACACCAAATAATAATATCTTGATGACAAATATGGCATAATAGAAAGAAAGGTAAGATGTTCATAACATCCATTTATTTCATAATTTTTATCAAGATATGCTTATTTAATTTGTACTAAAATGAATTTATTATTACTAAATTTATATTGAAATAAATACACTATATAATCAATTAATTAAAGTTTATGTTGCATTTATTTCAAACCAAATATAATAATTATTTACTCAATTTTGATTCCCAATGCATTGCATTGCAAATCTTCTATAAAATATAGAAGTTACACTATCATCACCACCAACAACAACATGTCAACATCTTTATCACACCACATGGGTTGACTACATGAATCTTTTTTTCTCAAATCTGTCATATTAAGAATCAAATTCTCATTTAAATTTAACAAATAAAAGTCATCAAATGTATATATAATCAATACATTCAAAAGCCCCAATCTCCCCCCAACCATCTCATCTCAACATCATAAGTGCCTTAGAAAATTGTTTTTGAAGCCACATCCCTGTCTTAAAACTCCAACAAACACCCCCAAACATGCCATCTTGGCATCTCCTCTCCTCCGCCTCAATTGACGCCGCCGCTTTGCTTGTCATTACCAAACAACTGAGCTGTTGACACCTCAGCAAACACTGCCATGTCAGCTTTGCTCGTCGCCATGCTATTGAACATTAGTGAAATTTTTCAGCCTTGCTGAAAACATTATCATTTTTTTGTTGTATTTTATGTTAATAATAATAAGCTTTAGCTTTCCTTTAAATATTGGGGTTTGTGTTATCCTCTGTTGATTCATATGATTCACTAATTGGGAGTTATAAAAAGTTAATTATTACGCCGACAGGTAAATAGTGATGACCCTTTGTATTGAGCCAACATTTATTTGATGTTGAAGAGAGTGACGGAGGTTGCAGCGGCCATAACTGAGTGATGGAGGCCGAAGGGACCATAGTTTGGGAGATGGTATTCAAAGGGAGCATAAGGGCGATGGTGGTCAGAGGAATGGTATACGAACAATTGAGGTTGAAGGGACCGTAGTCAGGCGAGAGTGTTCGAAGGGACTATAATTGCACGACAATGGTTAGAGGGTCTAAGTCGCATGTGACGAAGGTCAGAAAGATCATAGTCAGGTGACGGTGGTCGAAGTGACCGTTGTCGGGCAACGGTGGTCTAAGGACCGTAGTTGGTGGGTGATGGCGGTCCGAAAATCGTAGTCGGCTGACGATGGATGTTTGAGGGACCGTAGTCCACAGGTGACAAAGGTCAAAGGAACCGTAGCCGGATGTTGGAGGGAGCGTAATTGGATGATGGAGGTTGGGGGACCTTAGTCGGGCGAGGAAGGCTAGAAGGATCATAGTCAGCTAGACATGAAGATCGGATGGATAGTAGTCAGGCGACAAAGGTTGGGGAAATTATTGCCGGGGAATGGAGGTCGGAGGTCGGAGGGATGGTAATCAGAGGGTGACGAATGTCAGAACAGTCGTAATTGGTGGGTGATAGAGGTTGGTCTGCGGTGGTTGAGTGGAGACCTAGGGACGATGGTCAGATGGAGTTTCAACGTGGTGTTTGGTAGCTGGGGTTGATGTCTAACGATGATAGGCCAGTGAAAGTCTGATGAGGATGTTTGCGAGGAGGTACGACATCGACGGCTAGGTGTAGTCCAGTGAAAGTCAATCAACGATGGTCAGTCAGCGAGGGTTGTCCGGCGGTGGTGCTGAAGTAGAGCTCTAGTATTTCATCATCATCCAAGATATAATTACCCTGAATAAGAACAATATTCTCTTGGAAACTTTGATCACCAAAAAATTTAAATTCAAAATATGAGAAAATTTATCGGATTCAAACATCTGACTTGCTTATCATTGATGTCATGAGTGCGTAGGGTAGATTGATCTAGGAACAATCATATATGGCAATTTGCATTGATAATGACTACAAGTATGAAATGACACTGGGTAAAAGATTTGGGAAAGTAGTGTTAGATGATGGAACTGATCAATATCAAAGTTTTTCTTTAAAAAATTCACGATCTCTTCTAAAAAGTTGTTGAATAACTAAAAAAGGTTAAGCTGAACTAAACCGTCCATAATGTAGAAAAATATACAACATGTAACAGGAAAAAAGAGTAAAGGATAGAGTCATCTTCCACACGTTATTCATTGTTATATTTCAAGAAAAATGAGATGAGATGGTGAAACGGTAGGTATAGTCCAGCAAAAGACGAAGGTTCTACTTTAGGATACGTTGGTGGTTAGATTTTGTGCTTTTGCGTGATGTGCTGACTACCAAAATACTTTTGAGACATGAGATCGATTATTATTTAACGGTTGTGAGAAGTATCATGTTCGGTGAACTGCACACTCCACCCACAATCATGGTATCTCCTCCTCCCACTCTGTTTGCATCTTCTAACATTGATATTTACTCCATCATCATCGTTGCCACCACCTTCATGACACTCATTGTAGTCGCCATTTTACTGTACTCCTATGGATGTTTGACTGTGGAGTCGTTGTGGCAATGTCTATCATGCCGGTTCAGCAGAGGATCAAGAATTGCCGTAGAAATGATACCAATGTGTCGATACAGGGAGTCGCAATCATTCAACAGTGAGTGCTCGGTGTGCTTGACAGCTTTCGAGGTTGGAGAGGTAGTGAGGCAGCTTCCGGCATGCAAGCATTCGTTTCATGCTCCTTGTATCGATATGTGGCTTCGCTCTCACTCCAACTGCCCTTCCTGCAGAGCTCTTGTGCTGCAGGATCTTGCAGGATATCACAGAGCAGAAGCGGTGGAGGATACAAACCAACAACAGCTGCGGCAATTAATGGACAACATGGAAGTGAGTGTTGCTATTGCATCTGCTTTGTGAACGAGATAGGGATCAGGTTGTTCACCATTAGGAAAATCCTCTCTTTTGATAATATGTAAATATATAAAATAAGGTATATTTCATTGAATGAAGTAAGCTATATAATGTCATTCAGCTTCACAGCATATATCAATCAACCATTGAACATGAGGTTAATTCAGCTAATGAACTAACCAATAATGCTTTTCACATGTGGAAATCCGGGCAGTTGTAGTTGAAGCCTGTATGAAGTAGAGAACATTAGGGGTGTCAATATTTGACACGACACGAAAATCCGACCCGGAAATTTCGGGTTAGATCCGACCCGTTTCCAAAACGGGTCGGGCTCGGGTTGACTGGATGGGTTGCCAGGTCAATTTGGAAACCCGTTTAAAATGTTTGTCCGGCTGCCTGCGGAGCTACCCGACCCTGCCCGCCCCCTGTTCATGCCCTGCCCGCGCCCTGCTAGCACGCTACCGCGCGAACGAGGCTGCCCGCGTGCCCGCTGCTGCTTCCCGCTCGCGACCGTGCCAGCACTCGCCCACGCGGCCTCGCCAACCCGCCCGCGTCTGCGCCCGCCTTCCTGTGTCGAGTCGGTTCAACCCAACAACCCGTCGGGTCAGGTCCGGGTTCGGATTTCCAACCTGTTTTCCTACCTGGTCGGGTTAGGGTTGACCTGTTTGAACCCGAGTCAGTTCCGGGTTCGACCCGAACCCGACCCGTGATCCGAAATTGATACGCATAGAGAACATGGAAGAAAGGAAAGGAGCAATAACGTATAGTCACATAACTGTATCAATTACATATACAAATTACAAATGAAATCACTACAGTAGAATGTGTATATATATTAAAACTATGTAAATGTTATTCTTGTATTGCCCGTGGTTTGTTAGCATCAAACAATTGGGATTGGTTCTGCGGCTGTGTAGACGGTTGTACGTAGTAGAAAGCAGGAGGTAGTGGCTGACAAAGAGCAGGCCTTCATATGATTTGCTGGAAGGTGATGAGCTGCTTGGCTGTTTGTATTGTCACCAACCCTCAAGTTGATGGTTGGCTTAACCACGAACTTGTCACGAAGTATGGTGAATCGTGGAGATGGAAGGGCGGCTTTGGTAAGTAGATTAGCCACTTGATCTTGGGAAGATACGCGATGAACAGCTAGAACTTTGGAGTTGATAGTTTTTATAATAAAATAATGATCAATTTCAACGTGTTTGATGTGGGCATGAAATACAAGATTGGTGGCAATTAACATAGGATGGCGAGGAGGAGGAATTGAAATGAGATGAAGAGTAAGCTATAGGGGATTGGTAGATTGGAGTGACATGTACAGGGGAAAGGTTTGAAGTGTCAGGGGGAGGAATAAGTGGATTAATATTATGAGAGGATGATGTAGAACATATTGGTTGAGCTAGGGGAAGTGGAGGTGAGGAACTGGTTGAATTTGAGGGAAGGCTATGAAGAATATTTGAAGAGGAGACAGAAGCTAGAGTGGAGTTTTCATCAAATTGAACATGTCTTGAAACGAAGATGCGGCTAGTGTGGCGATTATAGCAACAATATCTCTTTTGGGAAGAGGGATATCCAAGGAAAACACAGAGTTTAGAGCGAGGGGCTAGTTCGTTTGGTTAATATGGGCAAAGCCAGGTATAACAACACAACCGAAAATATGAAAATGTATGTAATCAGGTGGTTTATTATATAAAAGTTGATATGGAGAGAAGTGTGAGGTATTGGGTGACTACATTATGTTAATTAGATAGAGGACAATAATGGCTACTTCAACCGAGAAATGTGACAGTAGCTGAGCTTCAATGAGAAGAGAGCGAACAATATAAAGAATATGACGATGTTTATGTAAAGCAATGTCGTTTTGTTGTGCAGCAGAAGAGTAAGTGAACTGATGATATGTTCCATGTTTAGTCAGAAATTACATAAGAGAATTGTTGAGGAATTCACTACCACCATTAGTTATTAAGATGCGGATTGTTGAGTTGAATTGTTTTTCCACCAGATTTTTAAAGGAGATAAACTTGGTTATAGTTTTTCATTTCTTTTCTTCATTGGATATAACCAAGTGTAGCGAGTGAAGTCATCAACAAACAATAAATAAAATCTAAAACCAAAATTAGAAAGTGCCGGGGGCAGGACCCTAAACATTAGCATGAATGAGATGTAGAGTAGTGGAAATGCTCTAAGATTCATTAAAGGGTAAATAGTCGCTCTTGGCAAGAGCACAAGAGTTATAAGTGGTAGAATTAAAAGAAAAAGAAATACGTAATTGAGGAGATTGAAGGTGATCCGAGAGCAACGATCAGAGTAGAGGATGAGAAGGAACGAAGGTTCACAGGATAGAGTCCATCACAACATGGGCCTCAGAGAATTGTGTGCTGATTCGTTCGATCCTTAATATTATAGCCAGCCCGGTCAAAGGAAATAATACAATTATTATAGCAGTTAATTTAGAAATAGAAAGAAGTTGATGAGAAAGATGTGGAACATGAAGGAGAGGTGTGAGAGAAAGGGTAAGTGTTGGAGTTGGGAGGAGACCCTTTCCAGCATGAAGGATGGGTAGTGAATTTCCATTGCCCACAAGGACTTGATCTTAGCTGTTGTAAGGTGATGGTTGTTGAACTGAGTTAATGTTGGGTGTCTAGTGAGGAGTGGCACCAGCATCTACATACCATTCTAAAGAATTGTCAGTTGAATGAGCTGAATTTGCAAGTAGAGCATGTTGAGTAGAGGGAGAAGTTGGTACATAGGCAAGATCTGCTCGATGCCATTAGTTAAATACGGAATGACCACATTTTCTGTAGATTTGGCAGTCAATCGGAGGTTTGTTAGTTGTAGTAAGAGGAAAGGAGGTTTAGCTGAGTATCCGTCGTGTCTGTGAATAGCAGGAAGGCGACCGCGGCTTTGTTGGTTGATCAAAAGAGCACAAATTGAGGATTATGAGATGAACTAGTTCTTTGGCAGCTTCAAGTGAGATTCACTTCCTCACTACAAAGAAGAGAGTAGAGGTCATCTAAGCTTATTGGGTCGAGCTTGGTGTGGATTTTTATTTAAAGGCTTGATAGTTTGGAGGTAAGCCATTCAAGATATATAGGATGATATCTTCAATATCGATTGAGCCTCCAACGGTGGTGAATTTATCAACCAAGCTCTTCACAGTGGAGAGATAATCCGTCATGGATAGATATTTCATAGTTAGAGAGTAAAGCTCATTTTTTTAGATTTTAATTAGCGCTCAAGAGTAAGACAAACAAGATGACAAGTGTCTATATTAAGTATGTGTGAGAGACTAGATGCAAAAATGGTGGAGTATAAGGCAGCAACAAGATTCTGAGCACCCATAAGGTATGTTGTGTATTTGCTGATGGTTGTCTTGTATCCTAAAGAGAATGCTTAGGTGGACAAGGTGTTGATCCATTGAGGTATCCATCGAATCCATTAGCAGTGAAGAGTTTGAGAATTTGAGAGCGTCAAGTGGGGTAGTTGTCGGCAAGAAGTTGTGTGTGAACAATATTCTTGATATTTGACACAAGAAACTTGAGCTGAGAGGGAATCGTCAGATTGCTAAGCTTAAGAACAATAGAATCCATGGGATCAAATTAGGCAGGGAGCTCTGATATCATGTTGTAACATGTATGAAGTAGAGAAAATGGAAGAAAGGAAAGACACACTAATATATAATGACATAACTGTATCAATTGCATATATTGATTACAACTGAAATCAATTGCCCTTGGTTTGTTAGCATTAAACGTGTGGAATTGAACCAATTGGTATTGTGCCCTGTGCAGACAACTGTATTAAAAGCAGGAAGTAGAGGTTGATAGAGAGCAGGGTCTTCATATAATTTGCTAAAGTAGGAAGGTGAAGAGCTGCTTAGTCGTTTGTATTGTCATATACTAACCATTCTGTAAATGCTGCAGCACAAGAGTTCTGCAGGAGGGGCGGTTGGAGTGAGAGCGAAGCCACATATCGATACAAGGAGCATGCAACAAATGCTTGCATGTTGAAAGCTGCCTCATTACCTCTCCAACCTCAAATGTTTTTAAGCACACCGAGCACTCACCGTCGAATGATTGCGACTCTCTGTATCGACACATTGGTATCATTTATACGACCATTCTTGGTCCTCTGCTGATCCTACTGGCATGGTAGATGCGGCCACAAGGACTCCACAGGCAACCATCCATAAGAATATAGTTAAATATTGGAGGCTACAATGAGTATCATGAAGCTGGTGGCAATGATGATGACGAAGTAATTATCTATGTTAGAAGATGTAAACAGAGTGGGAGTAGGAGATACCATTGTTGTGGGTGGTGCATGGAGTTGAGATGGTTTATAAGCAAAGAGGAAAAATATATAGAGAGAGAGGGGCATAGCTCACGTGGGACTATTGATTGATTGGGAGCTTTGTCTATCAATACATAGATTTGAATTTTAGTTGAGTCTTACGTATATGATATAAATTTGACTTCACTAATCTTAGTGTCAAAAAAAAAAAAGAAAAAAAAAATCTCATGTCTCAAAACTATTTTGGTTGTCAGCTCATTAGTCAAAAGCACAAAATCTAACCACCAGAGTATCCTAAAGTAGATTAGTATAACCTTTCGTCTTTTTCTAGATTATACCTACCGTTTCACCATCTCGTCTCATTTTTCTTGAAATATAAAAATGAATGACGTGTAGAAGAGGACTCAATGTATTCCATTAGGCTTAGCTGGGTTAGTGGGCGAGTATGACTGGGAACCTCCAAACTCATGTTTGATTTCCCTCTCAAGCGGCCCGACTCCGTAAGTGTGGAGAAAATAAATGCGTAGTTCAGCATCTATGAGGGTTGGTTGCCGCTAGGCCCGCCGTGGGATTAGTTACTCCGGCAAACACCTATATAGGGGCAGCAGAGGGTAAATACTCTCATTCCAAAAAGAAAAAAAAAAGAAGAATAGGACTTTATCTAATACTACGATTACTTAAGCTGGCTTATCGAGTCCTAACCACAAATAGTACTAGGTCAAGCCAGCTGTGGATGTACAAAAGAAGCTTTGTCGAAGCTTGCCGGCCCAAAAATCATTAGTTTTTTTTTTATGTTTATTTTATTTTATTAATATTTTAAAAATATATTTTCTTGAATGTTTAAGGCTGATTATTTTGGATAAGAATTTTAATTCTGTTTAATTATCATGATAATTATTTATTAAATATTTTTCTTGTTATTTATTCCAATAATTTAATCCGCTCTTGACAAAGATTACTAAAAGGCTACTTTTCATAATAACTTTTAAAAAATTATTATCTAAAAAAAAAACTTCACATTTCACAATGAGCTTTATAAAAAAAAATAAAGCCTTTGAGAAAGAAATCATTAATGATTTTGTGTTGACGCTGAATACTATTTGGAGATCAATCAAAATGTGTCACTTCACCCTTTTGCTTGGTATCGCAGCTCCGTATTGCTCGGTACCGCTTGGTACCGTGGCTTGGTACCACTGAATTTATGCATTTTTTTTTAATCCGAAAGGGCGTTTGGCGGCGTGACTAATCCTCGACTCATCTAGAAGAGGCACCCGCCACAGAAACCTTCTGACCCGCACTTGATTGTGCCCCACTTAAAAGGCGCTTTCGCTCGAGAAATCGACACAAATTAAGAGTTTCCAATGGTAATCGCCCATCAACCAAATTAAGCATCAATGGATTTCTCCAAACCTTGAAACAACCTTATCTCCCCTCAAACATGCGGAAATCATGAAAAGGTAGTAGATCTACAGACAGGGCATGTCGAATGCACCCGAAACCACATATCAATACACTCCACGTGGAAGCAGTGGCCGCACTCCGGCAGAAACCGAACAGCTTCCCCGTCCTTAAACTCCGACAGACACACCGGACACGTCATCTCCTCTCCGCCGCCGCTGCCGCAATCTTCGCCACCAACCTCCTTCGCCTTCCTAAAAGTTTGTGCTGGTGCAATTAGCTGAGCTATCGATGCTTCAGCGGACACCGTCACGTCAGCTCCACTCGTCGCCCCACCGTTGAACTCCGGCAACATCCCGCGGCCTCGCCGCCGGCGATTGATTGTTGTGATCCAGTGGTAGATTGTGATCAAAGCAGCGGTTATGGAAAAGCTGAGGATTATGAGATAGACGGAGGTGCGACGGTTGTGTTGTTCGCGGTCCATGAGAGGGCGAAGAACACAGAGAACAAGGTTTCTAGTCTCCTTCATATGAAATGAGAAAGTGCCAAAATGGAATTATTTAATTGTTGAGGTGTCCTCAGCAAGTTTTTTTTTTTGTTTCCATTGTATTTGTCTTGTACAGAAATTGGCCTATTTATCGGTTGATTTGTAGAAAAATTGACCTTTGGAGCATAAATTATTACAATAATTGTAAAATAATGAAATGATTTGTTAGGATTATAAATTTTCAACTCATACAGATATGTTTGTTTCTGCTTGGAATCAAAATAAAGGTTTTTGGGTATATCCTAATAGTGAATACTGAATACGTTTTTTATTCCGAAATTACTTATTAAATTATTTTTTTATTTGTTGATATAATCTTCTTTTTATTGATCAAATATGTTAAATTTTACAGTTAAAAAGTTATTAAAAAATTAATAAAAATGAGTCGGTTTGCTACCGGATCGAGTTCGGGTTGAATGAATTCGAATTTGGTCAATTTTGGATCAAATTCGAACCTGACTTGTCAACTCATTTTGACACCACTATAGGAAGTTATTTTTGAAATAAATATGTTATATGACAAATAAATTAAAACTTATATTGAGTTTATTTAAAGTCAAACTTAATGATAATTATGAAATCAAATTTTCCTTAAAAATTATTTTCCAAAACACTGCAAGTCCCCTTCAAATTCTATATATATAAAAAAAATTATAACAATTGGATTCAATCGTCGAAAGCTACCCGACCCGTTTTTAAAAACGGGTTAGGTTTCCGGACCCGAACCCGACCCGATTCAGGTCCGGGTCAACCCGACCCGACACGAATGACCCGAAGTTGACCTAAAATTGCTAATTTTCGGGTCAAAATCGGGTCAATATTTGATTTTCGGGTCAAAACGGGTTAAACTCGGGTTTTCGGGTCAAATATAAGTTTTCGTGTCACTTTCGAGTCAATTTCGGGTTGCTAGGTCAACCCGAACCCGACCCAAATTTTAAAACGGGTTGATTTGTTCAACCCGAACCCGACCCGTTTCGGGTTCGGGTTCGGGTTCGGGTTGACCCGAACCCGGATTTTTTCGGGTCGGGTTCAGGTCGTGTTTCGGGTCGTGTCAAAAATTGACACCCCTAATTGGTACTAGTTGTGAAATCCCCGCAAGTAAAAAAAGAAGTTAAATTCTTAAATATCGAGGTATTTTTTGTGTAATTGTTGAAATTTCATTAAAGAACTCCGCAGTTAAACGTGCTCATCCTAGAAAAATCTTGGGATCAGTGACCTCCTAAGAAGTTATACCAATAGGACAAAACTGTGATGTCCTTAGGCCAAAGCGGACAATGTCTCGATAATTAAGAGTCACAAAAAAACCTGTAAGATAGAAAACTTGTCTCCAATGCATTGGTTATGTCAAGCAGTTTTCTTTTTTCGGAGTTTAGACTATTGTTGGTTTCTTCATCAAACTCACTCTTCTATAAACTTGTTTGTGTTAAGTAAGATGGAAAACCTATCACACATAAAATATAGCTTTCTAACTTCAAATTGCTTTATACATAGTTAGTTCTCTTAAGCAAACATCATTTCCCTTCATCATATAACATTAAGGTCAACTTCGCTCTTCATTATATATGATTTAACACTAATATAACTAATATCAAGTCAACATCAAAAGTTTAATCTATGTTTAGCTTTACAAGAGGCCCCTATTTATAGAAATAAGAGGGAGAGATCAAAATAATTAAACCTATACCTTTAATTTCTAATTTACAACAATTATGAACATTATCATACCTACCACAATCACCATAATACCTCAATTATTATACATACTACCGTTCCTAATAACATAAACAATCTTTATGGGCAATGACATAAGAAAAGACTTAATATAACATTATGATACAAAAGCCCATAGAACTCAATATATATTGGTTCATAATATAATATCATGATAACAAAGACCCAAAATAAAAATTAAAGTCTAACATATAGTTAAATGCAGTACAAAAATTATACTAAACTTTAGAATAACAATGATGATGATGATGATTCTCTACATCACTAATGCACTTAAGACAAGGGTGTTTTAGTTATCCTATAGGTAAATATAGTTGATGTGCTCATGTAAGTAAGAACTTGAATAATCATTCATTTTATTATTTTTCAGATCAAATTCATGCTAAAAAAACTATCTACATATATATTATATCACAATCATTATTTTGATGCTCATAAGCCAATCATATATTATAACAAATGCTATCCAAAATTATTTTCATAAATTAATTCACCAACCATATGACTTTATATATATATAGACACACACACGTGTGTTGCAATTTGAGAGCTCAATTTTACGTTTTGATGATTATAAACATTATTGGATAATTACTTATTTATTCCTTCTTTAGACATTGCATATTTCTTGTGTGTCACTAATTATTTCAGGTACATCTTACATCAAGCATAATTGAAGAATAAAGCTCAAGATTGTGCATTGTCAGGGTCTAAGTGAGTATGTGTTTAATAGAGTGTGTACTTTTCTATTTTATTGAATCATTTTATATATTAGATGTGTGTTGGCTAAATAATCAAGCACACACTCACAAGAGAGAATAAAATTAAATATTTAAAATTTTCTGCTAATCATATTGCATGATCTCAATCATACTGTATGACAAGTTAAAAAATTAATTCAAATATTACATTAAATTAAATTAAGTTAAAACTAATTGTATTGTGCGATTTTCAATCATACATGATGATCAGATATTTTGAGAAACCACGTTGTCAAATCCTTATTACTTAAATTAGTAAAATTTAAAATTTTAAGTGATCGTAATGTACAAACTCTTTCATACTGTACGAACATTAATTAAAATTACATGAATTAAATAAGGATCATATCTTTATTAATGATTGTATTGTATCCCCATCGTTTAGGACAATCAAACATAGAGATCGTTGGCCAAAACCTTGATTCATCCTAGATGATTAGTGATTCAATTGAGCTAATCGTATCGTACGACTACACATGGTACCGTACAACTAGAGACAGGAATTGAACAAATTTGACAGTATGATAAGAGTAATTAATTTAAAAATTAAGATTTTTAAGGGCCAATTTTATAAACTTATCATCAGAGGCTAATTAGGGGCCAAAAAGTTGAGTAGCAAAAGACGTTTTTTAGAGATAGAACTTAAGATAAGGGAGGGGAGTCTCCTTGCTCATATGAGAATCTAAACCATTTGGGGGGAGAGAAAAGGTGAGGCTGAGGGAGTTCTTCCTTGAGGAGGGGTGTGAAAAGTTTCACACAGTTGTTTTCGATCAGCCTGCACCTTGGGTCCTCCTATTGTGGTTGTGGAGCTTTTGGAGAAGAGCTTGATGAAGAGTTTTTGGGCGAAAGACTTACTAGTCGAGGAGGCTCAAGGACAGCATCTTTATTGGGTCAGGAGACGAAAGGAGAAAAAATATAAAGCCCATAATAAAATTTAGAATAATTATATATTTTATCTTTTTAATTAATCTACCAGAACTTCTAAACAGTAAATATGTATATCCACTGAAAAAAAACTAATAATTACATACTTCAAAACATTGCACTATATTCATTTTCCTAAAATTAATAAACAATAGTCATGAGACCAATACAATCAATAATCAATCACATGCTTCTGATTGCAAAAGAATAAAAGAAAATGCAGAACAAAATCTAAGAAAAACTTGAGGATCTCTATCAGCCTCACTCCAACTGATCATGATCTCTTTTCTGACCTTAAATCATTTAAACCACATAATAAGATAAAAAGCTTAGCAGGAAACCAAAACTCTATCACTCTTTTCAATACAATGCAAAAGAATCAATATATAAGTTCAGTTCCAGTCAATATCAATCATCACTTAATATGAACAATAATTTTGCAAAAATCAATATGATCAATAAAATTAAAAGAGATTTATCAAACCATTTGACATACGATAAAGAGTAGTATCATCCAATAAGGCATATCAGTATGTTATTCTATGTGGTATCAATATTAATGTCAGAATGAGCTATCAATCATTTTAAAGTACCACCAATTAAGTAAATTTCATCATGAGTATAATTATGAAAAGTAACACATGACATTCAGTTTTAATGTGATGTCTTCTTCCATATATCTATGATATACTATAGCTCTCAATATGTTAATTTTCACAGAGGACTTTCAATAATCATTTAAGAGTCATCACCCTCTACTTGTCGGTGTAATTCAGTCAATCAATTATAGGTTACAACTAGGATTACTTTACCAACCTTTTATTTAAAGAAAAGTCTATTGGCCCATCCTCTTTCACAAGGTATTATATTTTAAGAACCAACTCGTATTCATTATAGTGTTAAACGCTAGCATTCCTTACATACATGTAAATGTTATTTTATTTTATATGCAATGTAAGTCAATATCATGTAAGAAATACATAAATGTACAAATACAAGAAAATTTATTAAATTTTTATATTATGTATTTACTTCAAAAAAACATATCTTTCAAAGCCGGTGAAAATTTAATATGTTACATTCAAAATGTTCATATTGATGAGATCTATCACATAAAAAAATTATGCGGCAAAAGTTTTGCTAATAGAAACTTATCCTAATTTATTGATAGCTGAGACATAAATTTGAACAGAAAATATCAAAAATATAAAATTATTAAATTAAATTGAAATAAGGTAATGATTCATCGAGACGAGCAATTTTCCTTATAGCGAGACGAGCAATTTTGTCAATAAGCTCAATGGGCAAAAATCACATCGCCGACATCCAAAATCTATCCTTTCTCTTTCTTCTATTTTCTCTCCTAATTTTTGTAAACCCTCTATTAGCCGAAATGAATAGGAGAACAGGGATTTTAAATAAAATGATATAGTGCTTTAAGATATTTTGAATAAAATAATATTATAATATTAATATAATTATATAATTTAATCATTTTTGGTATAAAATTTATATAAATCATTTTAGGGATTTAAAAATTATAAAAATTACGAATAAAATTGGTTTGCAAAATAGACACCCGACATTCCCAAAATCCCAACTTGTACTAACATGTGCTAATTTCTTAAGGATTTGCACCAGTGCTCGAAAGTTATGAAAAAAAATCATGTAATTTAAAAACTAAAATATAAATGTTACGACAAAGACAATTTTCAAATTTGACTTAAAATGACTCCTAAAAATATTTATTTGCTTGTGTCAAAATACAATCTATTACATATGATATCTCCATCATATCGAGAAGCTAACGAAGGGATGATGTACATCTCTGTCATAACGTGGAGTTGAAGAAGAGAGAGACATCTCTGTCATAGCGAGAAGATGAAGGAGGGAGCGACATCTCCTCCTAGCCGTGAGGCAAAAGGGGGTGATTCTTTGAGATCATAAGAGTCCATAAAGATCATTCTCCATCTACTAAGGGAGAAATGCTTCTCACCTGACTCAGTGTCAAAAGAGTGTAAGTTAGTGCAATATCCAAAGAGAAGAACTTTTGGGGAGTGGACCATTATAATCTAGTTTGTGTATTCATGCTTTCCTGCACTTAGTTTTTTTTGCATGCACTTTAATTTACTTTATTGATCTTTGAAAATTTGAGATTAATTTTTCTTAATGAATAGACATAAATGGTGTAAAGCTACTCGCCATCCTCATCAGTCTTTCCTTGTCAATCAACTCGTTTGATCAAAAGTTTCAATGACTTGTCAAGCATTCTCACTTGTGCTGAGAACCAATTCCATTGTGTAAAGCTACTCCCCCTTTATTTGACATGTCAACCATCCTTGGCCGCTATGGGATAGAATCTACCCAGTTGCATCGAGTTTGTCCTATTTGCTAGGGAGGTCAATTATTGACCCGACGTAAATCCGCGACCCAAAAAAAAAATTTGAGTTCGGATTAACCCATTTGACAAATGGGTCGGACTTGGGTTCCAAATTTTGACCCATTTGAAAAATCGGTTCAAGCCTGAGTTAAACCGCTAACTGGAAGTCGACTAGAATTTGACATGTCCCATCCGACTTCATCACCCCCACCCGCATCCCATACAGGTCGTATCGTCCCGCCCGCGTGCCCTAACTGTGCGTCCAGTAGCAGACCAAGTAACGCGCAGCTCGCAGTCCCCACAACCCACTGCCCGTATGGTCCGGTCGCACCGCATGGCGTCCAACCTGTCGCTAGTCCAACGGTCCAACAGGTGCGTCTTGCCCGTGAATCCTACCTGGGCGTCCCACCGGCCGCTGCCTACTCTTTGTTGAATTTTTTGTCCTTTTCTGAAAGAAAAAACTCCAAGTGGAGCATCCAACTTTTTTCTCATTTATTCAGGGTAAGAAAACTCGAGGGTGATTATATTCTTTTCTCATCCTTACATATAAGGATTTGTGGATTGAGGGCGATGCCTGATCGGATAAAGAAGCTATTTTTTTAAAGTCAACTTATAGTGGTTCATGGTCACTAGTCCCCAATGGTGCCCCATGCTTGGGGGTGATACTTAATACTTCTCTTGAAAAGTTCGAGTTCAATTCAAGTGCTTGAGGGGCTGGACAGCTCGCACTTTGTACTCGACACACTTATTAGGTTAACATTCCATCTTCTTCCAGGTGACGCCAGAATCAATATCCCTTTGAGAATTACTTAGCTGGTGATTTTTCATCTTATTTCTAACTTTTCTTAGTTTTTCCAATCATCGAAGCTTTTTTCTGAACATCTTCCTTGCTGAATTGTAAAATACTTGGACAGTAAAAGTATGGTAATTTAGTATTTTTTGTACAAATTTGACAATAGGATAATGTTGCACTAGTCTGAAATTCAGACTGGTTGATATACTCGCATTATAGAAGTTTCTAACGGTCATATAGCACTAGGAGAATGACCAGAGCTTCTTCTCCCTTAAAGACCATCCTCGTTACCCTCCTCCAAGAGCCTTTAAAAATCCAATTTTTCGCTCAAGTCCACTGTCTTCTCCTCACCTCTGGCGTTACCCAAGATTTCTCCGTCCTCCTCATGCTTGCAGAATTCCTTGCTTCCTCTCAAAGTCCCTCCTCAGCTTACTTCACGCTAAAGCAAACCCTAAGATTCCCAAATCCCTTTATTTTCAACTCCCTGATCACAGTCTTTACCCAAACCAGTTCTCCCCAATCAGCTTTTGTAGTCTACAAGTACTTGGTATGTGATGGCTTTTCCCAAGATAAGTCCACCTACCCTCTGGTTCTCAAGTCGTGCGCGAAGTTTTCAGGCATTAAAGAAGCTAGACAGATACATGTGGCTGCCACGAAGTTAGGTTTTTTAAGTGATAGCTATGTTCAGAATGCTTTGATACACGTCTATGGTTTGTGTAATTGTTACCAAGATGCAGGAATCATGTTCGATCAAATGCTTGTGAGAGATGTGGTATCTTGGAGTTGTTTGATTTATGTCTTTGTTAAAGGTGGACTTTTTGGTGATGCTCTGAGTTTGTTTTCTCAAATGGATGTAGACCCAAACATCACAACTCTTGTTAGTGTTCTTGTTGCATGTGGAAGGATAGGGGAGCTGAGTATGGGAAGATCAATCCATGGATTGTTGCTTAAAAATGCAGCAATTTTGGGGCTTATTGTTGGCAATGCACTTTTGGATATGTATGTCAAGTGTGAGAGTATGGAGGAAGCGAGAAAGGTGTTTGAAGATCTCCCTGTGAAAGATATAGTTACTTGGACAAGTGTAATAAGTGGGTTGGTACAATGCAAGCAGCCAAGGGAAGCTTTAGATGTTTTTCATGCCATGCAAGCCTCTGGAATGGAACCTGACAAGGTGGTGTTGTCGAGTGTGCTTTCTGCTTGTGCAAGTTTGGGAGCTTTGGATTGCGGGAAGTGGATTCATCAGTATATTGAATGGAAGGATATTGAACAGGATGTGCACATAGGAACTGCCTTGGTTGACTTGTATGCTAAATGTGGATGCCTAGAAATGGCTTTGAATGTGTTCCATGGCATGATATATAAGAATGTCCTCTCTTGGAATGCATTGCTAGGTGGCATAGCCATGCATGGGCATGGCAAGGTTGCACTTAGTTACTTTGATTGGATGGTTAGAACTGGCCTCAAGCCTAATGATGTGACTTTCATAGCAACACTTGGCGCATGTTCTCATTCGGGATTAGTAGAGGAAGGGCGGCGTCTTTTTGCATCGATGGTCGAATTGTATGATGTCACACCAAAAATAGTGCACTATGGATGCATGGTTGATCTGCTTGGGAGGGCTGGGTTGGTTGAAGAAGCTTATGAACTTGTTAAAACCATGCCAATGAGACCTGATGTACTTATATGGGGTGCCATGTTAAGTGCTTGCAAAACTAGTGGTAATGTTCAGTTATCACAACAGATTATTGGTCATCTCGAATTAGAGTTTTCTGATAGTGGGGTTTTTGTATTGCTATCCAACATATATGCCGCAAATGAGAGGTGGGGGGATATCCCGATGCTAAGGAGTCTGATGAGGAAGAAAGGTATTAAAAAGGAACCTGGTTCAAGCGTTATAGAATTGGATGGTAGAGCTCATGAGTTCCTAGTTGGAGAAATCAATTACCCTCAAAAGGAGGAGATTTTGATGATTTTGTACATTCTTGAAAAACAAATGCAAATTGATGGACAATAAAGCAGGTGATCTTTCTACCATTTCACTGTAGGTTTATGTAAGTTGAGAATATAAACTTTATCCTTCGATTATCATTTATGGGGATAGCCTCATCCTGTATGTCCTTTTCGTTGGCTTTCTCTATGGATATTGAACACAGAATTATTCATGAATCACATATAACTATATTGATAAATAATATTGGGGAAAAAAGATAAAGAAGAAAAATAGAGAGAGAAGAAGAATTTTAGACTAAGAAGCTTTTTAATTTCATTAATTTGGGCTTGAGTATAGAGAATTTCATGGAGTAGAATTATGAAAATTGAACTCACCCTACAACCCCTCTATTTATAGATTGGGATTAGGGCGTGAGAGTTGCATAATTGGCCACATATTACTTATGATGCAACGACACGGACACAGCGACACGGATACGACACGGCACGGACACGGGACACGTTAATTATTGAAAATATAGGACAAGATATTATAGTTTTTATATTTTAAAAATAGTGTAATAAAATTGAATAAGTATAATTTTAAAAATAATTTAAAAATAACAAGTCATTTAACTAGAATTTGTGCTTAAAATGATTAGTATTATGATGTCGATCAGAGTCAAGCCTTAGATGCCGTTTATCAGTCACCGAGAGAGGAGATAAAAATACCTTCACTGCCAAAGAGAAATGAAAATGAGAATATTCGATGAATGGGTATTAAGCATGGTTTTGAAAACCGAACCGGACCGGCCGGTTCAACCGGTTCAATCATGAACCGGTCCGGCGGCCGGTCCGATCAGTTGAAATAACCGGGGTATTAAGAAACCGGCAAAAAACCGGGTAGAATCCGGTTGAATCGGCGAACCGCCGAACCGGAGGGGTTTTAGAAGAACTGTGCGGTTCTTAAAAACGTCCATCTCAGCCGCGCGGTTTCCTATTTCGTCTACGCCCGATCTTTTCTTATCTTAGTCTCTCTCTCGTCTCCAAGAGAATTAGGGCAAAAAGCTTATCATTGTCATGACCCGACCCGATCCGGGACGGATCCCGCTCGCACCGGGTCGCGACACGGAACGAACGAACTGACTTACTGACCAGGATCTGATTATGGAATTTGGTTCGGAACTGAATCTTCCAAATTATTCAACTCAAACAGACACACAGACACAGAGCTACTATGAGTCATCAAATGCAGCGGAACAAAACATCTATATTTTCTTTTCTTTTCCTCAAAACAATCATCTACAAATACAGTACATGGCTTTTTGACAGAAAGAAAGACAGAACAGAAAAGCCATGACTGTATAAAAATCAAAAGGTACACAATACCTATACTGATCAGACTCTGAAATCTATTCCTGAACTTCCTTCCCTTTCCCAGAACCTGAAAACCACCAGAAAATAAGAGTGAGCTCACCGGAATGTGCCTTACCTTGCTTCTGAATTAATATGTTATCTGTATATGCTATAAAAAGGGAGTTATAAGGGGCCTAGATCCTAAGAGATTCAGTTAGTGTCTGGGAAATCTGAAATGAGCTCAAATTTGAAATCTGAAATATGTTCTGTTCCGGATCCGATGAATTCTGTTCTGGTGCTATAAGCACATCTGTTCTGGTGCCGTGAGCACAAAGGGAGGCATAAGGGGCCAGAATCCGAGAGATTCTGTCAGTGTCTGGGAAGGGAGGCATAAGGGGCCGGAATCCGTAGAGATTCCGTCAGTGTCAG